TGAGTTTTCATTTGTCGAATGAACTGTTTGTCAAATACAGAATACATATATTTTAGAACAATTTTCTTTTTAAAATGTAGATGAAATGTTTTGCTTTTCATGTATTTTTTATGTATTGTTTTTGATTTGACAACTTTGAACTAAACAGATTTTGTTATTAGCTTCAGATCTTGATCAAAGTTTGGCACCCAGTTCATAGGAGTGCTTATATTGATTTTCTGACATCTTGTTTTCTGTAAAGATTTTATTGGTAGGTTTGCAAATGTGTATCAGACTGTGCAATCTCTCCATGAGTTGGTTTTGAAACCCAGTATGGGATTCTGAGATACATTACCAAGGATATTATTACAAGATAAATCATTTGCTTCATTGAACACATACAACAATGCATATTTCCACTGAGATCAGTGACCTTTGATGTGTATCACCAGTGATCAGTCAAGTAGAAACAGTCAAAATATTTTATCAGATTTTCTCAATTTTTGCATGATATTTTCTTACAGGACATCTGTTGTTCAAACTCAGGGAAGACTTTATACTGATGAATAAGGTGACCAAGTTTGATGAAGTTTGGAATAGAATTAGTAAATTTATTATGCACACGATAACAACTATTAACGACGACGACGACAACAATGACAGACAAAATTTTTCCCTTAATATACCTTTCCCTTCCATCTTTGATGGTACGGGCAAGGTAATAAACTGAACCATACCTTCCCCCGATACTAAACCTAAGCTACGCAAAATGTATTAATAATCGAATTAACTATTAATATAAATTATGTTTTCCGAGGACTATGAAAAAGGTCCTCGGAAGGTGTGTATATTGCTATATATCTGTATTTTTGTCCTCGCAACATATAGCAATCCAATAAACTGAACCATACCTTAAACAGCGTCTCGATTCATTGGATTCATTATATTACCTGTGCCGACCAACCCAGATAAGTGCAATTTTTACGGCTGTTCATTCTCTGAATATGCGTTTATACCATGCTTTGCGGAGACGCAAATTAATGAAATTGAACAGACTCTGTGCAGGTAAGTTTGAAGAAAAGGGTGAGTACAGGTTGCCTTTTGCTGAGCGCGAAAATGTTCGCCGGGTGGTCACTATCCCTGAGGACCTCCCTCTTAGTGTATCCGAACGTAGCGTATTGAGTCGGGGACTGAATTTCATTCCGGTTAAATCTAGAGTAAATGAATTTCAGGTGAAACGCGACGCTGACATTTTTTTTCGCCGACTTAGACTGAAGAAGTACCATGCGCACGACGCTGATCGCGATCGCGATGAAGCTAGCCAGGACATGGATACTATTCACAACGCTCGTTTATTTGGAGCACCACCATCTGTGTCCTATTGGACACCACCACCTGTCGTAATGATACTCTGGATCATTATATAAGTGTGTGT